TTTTTGTTTTATCGCAGGGGGATGCCGGGGATTTCCATGGTCGGCATCCAACGAAGACACCATGGATTTCCTGTGATATGAGTCAGGGACGCCTGACTCACGTACCTGTTTTTTCCTTGTACTGAATGGCATGAGGCTAAGCCCAGGACCTCAATAGCTGCAGACATGCACGGAACGCCGTCAACCTGTCGCCTCGTCGGTTCGTGGCCTTTAACTACAGGAACTCTGGTCCCCTTCACCTGGTTTTTCAGGATTTGGGTCTCTTAGGCCGGCGTGTGGCACCGCAATCAAGTCAGTACGCATATCCATGAGTGTGTGTTCCGTTCGAACAAAAGATAGAAACTCCCTGGCCTTGGCAGTTCTTGGCGTACTTCTCGCTCTTTGCTTTGAGGATTCCAGCAAACATTTGCATGGAGTTGTGAGGGTCCGTCTTCAGCAAGTATTTATCACTCTTCCGGCATGATCCCTCGTGAGGTCTAAAGTCCAAGGCGAAGGGTTTCCACACGCATCCATCACCGTAGCAATAGCCCCACGTGCGCTCCCAATAGCAATCCTGGGTCACCACGGGCGCAACCTATCTTGTGAAAACCCTAGCGACAAGACCTGCTCTTTAAAGGAAAAGAAGGAAGCCAATGGGAAAGGACTGGGCTCCACTGGCTCCACATTGTGGATGTTCCTCTTCTTAATCACCCTAGACTGCAGCACAGACTTGGAACCTTTCAGTTGTTTGAATGACTCCATCTGTACAACCAACAGCCAAGCCCCTCGGCCTTGTTCATATCTCTGTAGACCTTCTCCCACATGGGGTCTTCATTCTGATAGGTTAGGGCCGTCAGGTTGACATCCTCGTGAATGCGGACGGCTTCATGCCCACCCAGGAGCAGCAAAATGAAGAACGCCTCAACATGCGGGCACATTCCTCTGGCACTGACCCTCAAAAACAATATGCAGTATTAAAAAGAAAAAACATATAACACTCACCCCAATCGACCAAACAGGCAACGCTGAACTCAGACTCTACCGTGGTATCTCTGACTCTGTGGGATCTACTCTTAAGAACTCCAAGCGGGTGATGTTTCAGAAGAACCCCCTACAAAGCTCTGGTATATCCAACGAATCCAAGCATGTCTACGTCAGAGTACCCTGCCTTGGCACGCACCGTTGAATGACCGTGGCTTGGTCGAGGCATGGAATCACTGGATTTGAAACGCAACAGTTGATTGCAATGTCACGCAATGGTTGGAGATTCTGATCCTTTGAGCCCATCGTGACTGGCGGGTTTGGTCAAGTGACCTGATGGAACATCACCACGGAGGGCTTTGCAAAACCCACGCGACGGACCCCTAAACCCACCAGTTCTTTCGTCCCAAGCTTTACCCCATTCCATGCCAAAAGCGCATCCGCTAAGATCCGCCCTCCGCTGAGCTCCGCCCTCCGCTGAGCTCCGCGGCGGGTTCATTGCCATGTCCAGCCGTCTCAACGGTGTGGGCCTCAATGCAGGGCTTCAAGCCATTTGTGGGACATCTGAGTTAATTATTGGAAAATAATCGGAGGTTCCTGCTTAGATGACCTCTGCTGGTTGTCTTTCGGTGTTTGATCTCTCGGGTGGTGTGTTGTGCTTGCAACATCTCCTCTTTTCCCCTTCCCCGACCTCGGCACGGCTCGAGTTTCGCCACAGCATCGAGCGCGCACCGTTTCGACCCGCCTCAAGGACTCACAGAGTGCCTGGCAGCCCTCTGCGCCGATGGCGTTGGAGCGGAGCCGCAGCGATGTCAGTGCAGAGGCCTCCGCCGTGCAGTGCAGTGGCAGGGTCTTGCTACTTGCCGGTGGTGTGGCAAGTCTTGTCGCGTCCGGACAGGTCAATGAACCAGTGACCAAGTGATTGGCTTCTCATGCTGAGTCATGCTGCTGAGATCACGTTGACTTTCATGCGGACTTTTGGATGATCGAGATGAGTCTTGCGTGGCGTGCCCACATTGAATTACACTCTCTGAAACCATGGTGGAACATAGCTCTCCAGGCGCGGGGGTGTTCAGCTTCCATGATTGTCGGGAGTCTGTTCATCTCCTCATGGCCCTCCACAGTGGCGGCGTCTCCTGTTCATCCTTCGGTTTCCCTGTGTCTCTGATGAGCTGGAGATGTTGGGGGACCATGTTCAGCTTCCATGGGCCAGGTTCGGCGACGAGATCTGAAGCCTTCGTGCCGGACCTGGACTGGAGGGGATCCTATGATCCGTGGTGGATCGTGGATTCCATCTCTCGGCATGAGAACACTTGTCTTGGGAAGAATGGACTCATGGACTGAGCATGGATTGAATGGACTGAACACTCTTGTCATGGATCTATTCATGCACTTTAATGTTCTCACTTGTCTTGGGCCTATAGGACTCGGCCGAACTCTGCATGGGTGTGTCCGATGCCCAGAATCTCTTTCCAACACAAACAACCAGCCGACAGACTCACCTTTTCATTATCCGCCAGCCTTCCCCACCCATCTCATGCAGCCAAAAGGCACGTGGTCCCAATAGGTACGCCAAGCACTTCACGCCAGCATCCCCCAAGTGGTTGTACCTCTCACTGTGCGTTTGACCCCAAGAAAACATAAGAAAACTCGCTGCAAGAACCAACGCCCCAAGTCGGTGCCCTTTGCGCTTTCCTCGACGTCCCCGAAAAGAAAACCCACCCGGCTTCGGCGCCGTCGCTTGAGCTCCGAAGCCCTTCGCGGCGCGAACATCGCTCGCGGCGAGTCTGGTCAATGTCTTTCTTCGGTCGGCGGGGCACGACAAATCCAAGCGACAGAGGAAGGGCGACACCACGTAGCAGACCTACCCGTAGCAGAGTCCGTTCAGAACGGTAGCGGAGCAGCGGAGCTCCCGCTGCTGCAGGGAGAGAAGCGCATCGCGGGGAGCACCAAGGGACCTCGCCCGTACCAACAATGGAAGTGATACACAGAGACGCAAAACAAACGAGGAATCGACCTGGCGGGAAGATTTCGATCTTCTCATCACCTTCACCAAGGATGAACCAAAAGGAACATCTGTGGGGAAAAGGTGTTCCAGTAGGGATGTTGATGGTTAGCCGGGTGTTCTGTGCCAAGAATCGTCGCTGTCAGATTTCACCACCAACTCAGTGGTAAAGAAGCTCAGAGAATCAACCCTCTGGTTGGCGGGTTCCACTCACAAGCAAATAGTATGAGTCACTAAGTTCAATCATCTCAAGCAATAAAAGGTTTAACAAAATCATTGAAGCCACCACCCGGACCCTCCTCTGATCCTTCGCTGCTGTTTTTCTGCTTCGGCCTTGGAAAGGATCAGCAAGTCCTCCGTCCGCCGCGCGTCCGCTGTCGCGGCTCCCGGGGATCCGGTCGGCCAGGGATCCCAAGAGGTCCATCCAGAACTGGGCGGCTTCTACAAGAAACCTGCTCTGGCTCTGAGAAGAATGACAGCTCTGAGACCCTTCATCAATCCCCTGATTTGAAAGGGCCTGGTTACATCAACCGGCTCACCAACTCGCCAACCCTGCCTCATCTGCTAGTCTGGACGTGAACGTCCGCTTATCATTGCCCGGCGCCTGCGCCGTGGATTTGGGGCTGTGATTCTCATGGCTGGCAGTGTCGGCAGTGATCTCCCTTAGCATACCGGCAGCCAGCCGACCAATGTACCAAAGTGGAGTCGTCTGAAGCATGGCCAAAAGAGAAGAGAAAATGGGGGATATATCCATCCAACCCTGGGCGTTTGCCTACGAGCTTAGCAACTCTTAGCATAAGGTCCTTCTGATCAGCCCATAGTAGGTTGGGACATGTTGATGCAGTTTGACAGGAGCGATGTGGATTGTAATTCTCAGACTTGGGGCAGACTGAAAGCATCCTTTTTTTCCATTCTCGCTGAGCTCACCAAAACGCCAAACCACAAAGCACCATGACTATGTGCACGCCATGATTCCCAGTGCATCATCTTGCAACCACAAACAAACAAGTGTTGATGTGTTTGATGTGAAGAAACAACTACTCGTTGACCATCATGCTCACTGTGAGCCGGCGTTGTCTCAAACTGGCATCTCTCTCACATCGCGTGGTCTCTGCAGCTTTTTCCTTAGAACAATCGAAAGGTCTTCCGTCCCTTCCGTCGTTTCATGGTGGAACAATCGATGTTCTTTCCAGAACCATCGCAGACTGATGTGACTTCTCATAGCATATAGATAGATCAATCCGACCACTCATGTTGTTAAACTCGAAAATGATTGTGACGCAAAGGTATTCCTGCCAAGAAGCTTGGCCTTGCCGAAGATTGTACCCCACAAGAAAGAGCCTCTAGAGGCTCTGGCATGACCTTTCTCGCGGCAGCGACGAAAGCAGTTGTGTCTCAAGGAGGGCGACCTACAAGCGAGTTGAACCACTACTTCCCAATTGACCAGACGTGTCCGTGTCATTCCCAAAAAGGATCCGCTTGTATGTCTACATTTACCTAATTCACCTGAGATTGAGATAAATATCACGCATCTGAAGAACGTTGGGCCATTCATCCTCAAAGTTCCAACAATCTTTGGAATGCTAAACCATCTATCAACAGTGAGAACCGTACGTGCCAACCCATCTATCTCTTCCCCCCGAGTCCGAGCTGGTCTGACAAAGCCTGTAGAGTCAAGAACGACAAGCAGGTCAGCGAGCCGTGTCAAGCAGGTCAGGGTCGGGCTTGAGAACACAGTCGTTTTCTCACAGCTGCAACAATTTTGCTTCCACTTTGGACCCAGCACCACCCGTGTTCGGTAGATGCACGTTCTTGGCCGTCACGTCCCGTCCCGTCCCGTCACTGGCCTCTGTGCGCTTCCTGAGCAACGCGCGGCCGGCAACGCACGTTCCGTTCACCCGTGCGGGGCGCGCGACTTGTGGACGCCATGTCTCGTGTACATCGCTTCGTCTCATTGGTTGCACTCCGTGATGTCGGAAAAATGCCATCCCCTCATTAGTAGTAACAAGTGCCTTACTAGTAGTAACAGGTGCCTTACTAGTAGTAACAAGAAGCTAGTAGTAACAAGTAACTCATTAGTATGTTCTTTCACATCTCCACCCCATCCCCTCCATCTCGAGTCCACTCGGGAGGGCCTTTTCCTCCGGGGTGAGATGTTCCGCACGACGACTCGACGACAAAAGCGCAGGGTGTTGGACCTCCCCGGCGTCGTGCCTTCGCAGGGTTCTCCGCGCGGGTTCTTTTGGGAGCCAGCCTTGGCCTGGCGAGAAGTGACTCCTGATCTTTTCTGTCTTTAGTCACATCTTTGGAGGTGCCCAAATGACAGGGCACCAAATGCTCCATGTCTGTTTCGTGAGAGGAAATAATGTTATGTTTACATTCTTTGAGGTCACTATAGACCTTCAAAAGCTAAAGAACATCGATGTGAAAAGCTTCCAACGCACGCAGCACCCACCGCACGGACCGTCCCACCGCGACTTCTCGCTTCCGCACAGTACTCTCCGACACCCTCCAAACATGGAGTCGTGGAGTTCACATACACCCTGTTGAGTATGAAAACAGGCCATCCAATTCGATTGTTTCCAGGGAGTGTAAGTCAAAGGTAGCTGAAAGCCACCTCTTTGTAGAAGAACGGCAGTGTTTACAGTGCGTGTTAAGCTTGAACCCTCCTAAGCCATAACCCTCCAAACCGGGTAGTAGGGATACGATCCTCTTCCAGACTTCCGGTTTGTGCCTTGGACCCGTTCCGGTGGATTTTCCGGTGATCCCGGACGAAGCCCTGCCGCCCGTCCACGGCCTGTTGCGCTGGTTGTACGCATGCGGGTCAGACCAAATGCCTCGGTGACCCGGAGGTAACGGAGGACAAGGAGGTGAGGATCCGCATGACCGTCGGACGCTGAAGGTGACTCAAAGGTGAACTGAAATGATCAAAGTTCATCTTCCAGGCAACACTTCGAAGACTCACCACTGATGCACATCGGACCAGCGCAAACCAGATCAACTGAACAACTTCTCTCATCTTCTAAGCCTTTTCTAATCATTTCTGACTCACCTTTCACTCCGGAAGCATGTCAGCGTGTCGAGGGGCTCTGGTCGCTGTCGTCCTCATCCGAGGAGTCAAAGCCCAGAAACTCCATGAAGACGTCCATCTGCCGCCCACGACCGACGGTCCACGACAGACGGTCCTCCTGGGTATACCAGGTATATGGGGAGCGGTGCCCAGGTATACCAATTGGTTGTAATGACTGGGGGGTATCCCTTCCATTCATCAACCAACCAATAGTAAAGGGCCATCTATGTACTATGCATGGAGAATAAACCCTCCTGGTTGGGTGCCCCTCTAGGACGTGGCATCTCGCATGGTGATCATGGTATCTCGCTTCCTCCCCTCTATCGTGCTACAAGCACCAGGAGATCCTTATATAATTGCAAAGCCTCCTATATTTGGATCCATTTGGATTGTAAAACCTCTCCACATGAGGGGTATTCAATCAAGTGTCTACCAAAAAAAGATTCTCGTCGCTCTTCTCTAAGAACACTGGCCATGTGAAGCAGGCCTTGTCATGCACAAAGGAGACGCCGCTGTGCAGGAATCCTGCAGAGACCGCGCGGTCTCAACTGCAGCAGTTTGGCCGAGCAGGGTAGTGCTATGTATGGTGAAAGGACGTGAAAGGTGGGAGTCTTTTCTGAAACTTATGTGGGCGCCACTGATTTGTTACAAAGCCGCTCAAACAAATGGATCATGTCCATGTTGAGACCTCGTTGCTGACCATGGGAGAACATCCGTCTACTCATCTGAGGAGCCAACCCACCTTCTCTCGAAGCCACATGACCTGAGGTCCGTTCCAGCATAGAAGTCGTCTCCGACTCATTGAGGCTGTCTGAAAACTGTATGTTCTTCCCTTGATCACCGTAGTCTGCAAGCCGCCTCTGATATCCCGCCTTCCCCTACAGGGACACGCAGAGACTGAAAATGACAGCGCCCAAAACAACGAACACGGACGAACAGGGGGCTTCATTCCAAGGCACAAAAGATCCAACCAGCAGCAGGATGATGACAAAGGCAATGGTGGCAAAGAACCTCGACTTCCAGCTCAGTCGCATGGAGACAAAGTACTGCTGGCATGGGCCATGCTGCTGCAACATTTTCTGAAAGCAAGCCCTGAATGTGTCCCCAGGGCAACCAGGTTCTCATGCGGAAAATAGCATGTGTCCAAAAAGAAAAGTGTTTCCACTACTGACATTCGCGGCCTAGTAACTAGTTATTGTACTAATTACTGTTGATGGACCAAGAATACCTGCGGTGTTATCACGGCAGGGTATCCAGCGGATTTGGTCCAGAATGAACTCCTGGATGAATGGCAACTGCAATTGGTCGACTTAGATGAAATAACATTACCCATGTCGGTCATATTCTTCGCATGTGTCCGGCTTCCCAAAACCAGCTCCACACTCAGCCCCACAGCCACTGGCTGTCACCAATGTGTGTTTTCTGGTATTGGAGGCATTCCAAGGCTGCTGCATGGCTGCAAGGAGCAAATACGTAGGTTTCTACTGGAGGTGCTATGGCCACATGACGGCCCCATGACGCCCATGGTATCCCATGACCCCTTGGACCGTCTATATGGCTGTGGGGTCATGGCTCCCGGGTTCCTCTATGTTCGGGGTGTCAACCTACCATGGCTTTCTTGAGAGAGGTGCCATGACTCATACCCCGGCATATCCTGGCCAACATGGGCATGTGGACGCTTGCGCAGCGCAAGCGCTGCTTGCCGAGGCGCAAGTAAATGGTCGCTTCCTCCAAGTGTGGCTGAATCAAATGCTGGTCCCAAAGATGCTTAAAGCCTCAGCGCGCTCGAATGTGAGAGATAAATGAAGCTCTGACCATCAGAAGTCACTTCCTTTAAGCATCCATTCTCAGAATTAAGTCACAAGTGGCACGATAAAGTTTAGCCCTAGACAGAAACGTGGCAATGTCCAATTAACAAGGTCTACCAAGACATGCCACTGACTATACTATACTGTTGAATAATGTTGAATAGATATATAATATAGTGCGGACTATAAACACTAGTGGTGCTGGCTATGCGGTCAGTATCTGTTGCCGCCCCCCTGCAGCCAGCTACCCCTTTAAAAACAAAGGAAGCTGGAACTAAAATTAACCAGCAGTTCATACCAATCAATCTCAGAAACTTCATATCCATGTGATACAAATCCTTCATCTTGATCTCCTCGAAATCCACATCCGTCACCACCACCCACCGTAAGATTCAATCACCCTGGCTGAGGCCAAAGCCATAGCCTAAAAGGAAGACCAAGAGCCCCCTGAGCCAGGCAGGACAAAACCGTGCGCGAACCTTGATGAATTGGAATAGAGAAACGACCTGAGGGAGTTGGCACATCGTCGACAAGTCACCAATCAAATACTACTTACCTGCGGAATGCGTCTTTCTCCCTCAGAGATGACATCTTTTGTCCTCCGAAGTCGTTTGGGTAGCAACTCCGACAAAGGGCCACACAAAAAAGAAAGTCGACGCACCGCCGGTCCACACGCAGATCGGCGCGGATAAGAGATTCCCTGCCCAAGAAACCGCGACGAGATTCGCCTTCGCGGCGCGAACCCGGCCGGAGCCCTGCGACGCGAACCCGCGAGGCCCTGGCATTAAAGTGATCGTCGAACAGCTGCAGCTGCCCAAAAGCTTGAAAAGTTGCACACAGCAACGTGCACAGCCTCGGTTTTTGGTGCGAAACACCCACACCCACACCGACACGACGACGCAGGGATTCTTGCGTCACGGGTCTGTTTTGGGGGAGGACGAGAAACCCAGGCCCAGGGCGCCTCTGGAATGCTCCAACTGGACCGTCAAAAATGGTCAGCCAGAGTTGCAAGCAGTCTCCAAAAAGCAAGGAGTCTAAGAGCTGAGTGGCTGCACCGAACACGTTTCACCTCGTTTCACCTCGTTTCACCTCGTTTCACCTCGTTTCACCTCG